TATATATATATATATATATATATATATATATTGACTGACACCTATTGTCCCTTATACTACTGAGAAAAAGAATTTGGTAAATACTACCAGGATATGGTTAAATTTACACTGAGTTTCAGGCTCTTTGGTAACACCAAAAGAAAAGCTTTTTCTGAAGAGTTTTGGTAATAATTAGTTAAATTAACTATTAAATATGCGATATAATAAGTAATAAAATTTATCAAATGAGACACAATTGGGTAATTTTATCATGATTGCTAATTACACAAAAAGAAAATTTCGCATGAAGAAACTAATTGAACTTGCCCGTCTCTAGCCTAAACATTTAAATTAGATTTTTCAGATTACGACTATTCCCTTATTCATTTTAACTGCGAAAAAAGTATGATAAAAACTACCAAAATATAATAAAATTTACCATGTTTCTGGCTCTAGAGGAACACTATGAACAATGAAATATACATGGTTAAATTAAATGTGATAAAGTTAGGAAAATGTGGTAATATGTGGTAGTTTTAACATGATATGTCATAGTTAAATTGCTTAAAAATCATTTATTCGGTTACATTTACGTTTCAGCTTTGTAGATTTTACAAAATTGGTGATAGTACAAGCTATAAGTTTCAAAATAATTATATCCTGTGAACTTCTACCATACTAATGGAGAATTACTAAATGAACGATTTAAATTCCGTATACTTTGATTTCATTACCAAAATTACCGTTTTTTATTAAACCAGAAATGCCATTACCACTGTTTACTGTAATTATAACATTACAGTTGATAATAATACTGTTACCAGATTTTTGACCCTTATAAACAGGACCATTTCTGATCTGGAAAGAGCACAGTGGTGGATTATTTAAAATAAATAATAGTAGAAACTTTTATTTTACTTTAAAAAAAATCTATTAATGGATAGGATTTACTATACTATTTCTTTCTCTTTTCTGATCCTATTTATAGATATGTTTCTGAAACTTTGTTTCAATGACAACATTAAGGTTTTGAAGCATTAAAGATTTTAAACATTGAAGATTTTAAAAATAAAAGTTTTTGCTGTATAATTAAGCATTTATTTTGAGCCAGAAGCCTCTTTTTTCTTTTAATGTTTGTTAATTAATTTCAAATATTTGTTCTTACAGAATCCAATTGCCAGAGTAAGTGATTATGACACTTTTTTTTTAAATATGTTTTTCATTAAAATAACATTAACTATTTTTAAACATTTATATCTTCATAATATAAATTTGAAAATTTATAAGAGCAAAAAATTTGTTTGAATTAAATATTTTGTAGAAATTAAATAAAAATTAAAATTTAATAATTTTTAGCTTTTGATATTTATGCAATTGTAAGATAAATGTGCAATTAAAATACTTATACTATAATATAAAGATGAAAATTTGACTATATTCTTTATGAAAGTTTTAATTGTAGAATTTTTAAAATTATTGCTCATCCAGAGGTTAAAAATTTCAAGAAATACTTTTTTCGAATTTTTCTGCATTTGTGCAAATATATATGAAATATTCTTCACATTAAATATTCCATATTCTTACTTTAAACTTTTACTGATCTATATCTATAATTCTTACAGAGGGAGCTCTAGTCGGTAAGTTATTATATATACTTCTTTAAACATTTTTTTTTCATTTTTGGGTTATTTAGCATTTTTTTACTGAACAATGGAAGAATTCTCGAAGATTATAACTAATTTATTAACATTGTTTCCCACAATTTCTTAAAAATGTAACTATTATTTTAAATAATCTTTTTAAAAAACATTTTTAAATTCATCTCTAATGTTTTCTTTTTAACGTGGATTAATATTCTGAGGCAGATGACATGGATATTTAAATTTTGATTCATAGTGCTGAAAAATAGCAACTAAAACTTCTAAGAACCTTTGCTTCCTGAATTTATATATATATATATANATTTCAATACATATTGCTGGATTATTACCGATTATGTTTATATATATATATACCTGCTGACTTTTCAATACACATTATTTCTAAATAGAGATTTAAACAAAAAATCAAAATGCGTTCTTCTAGAAATAATTTTAGCTGCTACAGGCATCTGTTATCTTATTTGAGTAGCTTAAATACTAAAATACTAAAAACAAAAGTGTTCCTTAAAAAATACTAAAAGCAAATTATTTAACTAGAATTCATACGTTTCTATAAAATTTTTCTACATTACTAAGAGATGTTTGATTTAGAAGTAAATGAAACCAAGTTAAAGGGAAAAAAAAAGAAAAAGGCATATTCATTCACCTCTAAGCGACATATAAAGATATAAGTTAAAAACATAGATATTGCACTGAAAACCCATCAATCCTAATCTTAATAACTTAAATTCAAAATTGCTTGTTAAATAGATTATTTGAACACTATATTTAAAAATTATTCAAGTGACTTTATAAAAATTGTATATATACATAAATTTTCCATATATTTTTAGGAGTTGACCGAGGATGTAAGTTATAAATGTTTTATTTCCAATAACTTTATTTTAAATAGAAATATGAGGAGAAAACCATTTATTGGATAGAAATATTTTAAAAAGTTAAACTATTTAGTAATATATTAGATACTCGAATTGTAGCAAGGAAATCCTTATTTTCAAACTTTAAAATTTTTTAAATTAAATTACGAATGTTTAAGCAGAAATGTTTACTTTATTAAATTTTTTAATTCTGTATCAAAGATAGCAATATTGACAATAGTAATCAATCTTATTTCTTTTATTAATACAATTTGAATTTTTGTAAGCTTTTATTGTATAATTCAAACTTTGCTACATTACATTACACACCTTAAAGGATACATCTGTAATTGTCAAAAATATAATGAATCTAAGAAATAATATCTAACTATGGGGGAAAGATGCAATAATGATCACTCATCGAAACAATCCTAAAAAGAGAAATGTAAATAATCCATTAAATTAACAAAATTGTAATTTTCACAAATCTGGATCCTAGAAATTGACTTTGTATAGGAATTTCTTTAAAATTTAGCTAACGATTTTGTTAAAAATATGATGAATTTTGAAAAATTTAATTTTAAGTAGCTCTAACTGTAGTATAAGCAATTGTAAAGTGTAACTATTTTTGTTTTATATTAAATACAATGCAAGTTATTATGTTCTGTTACAGTGGAACGAGGAATTTCAGGTAAGAAATAGTTTGCTTTATTAACTGCATGTAAAAAGATTGCTTCGAAAATTATTAGTTATTCTGTGCACTCCAGATTCTTATAACCGACAAGAAGGCTCACTTCTATTTCTCGTAATAGATTCTTATTTATCACTTTTTTTAATTCGATACTTTCCCCAAAAAGAGATTTTTATTGATAAAATACATAATTAATATAAATTTATGTTTGTTTATATGCTAATATCAACGAAATGAATGAATGCCCGGATTTAGAAAAGAATTCAGCTTGCGTATAGTCTGTCTGTACAGGAAACTCATAAAATTTGTAGTATCATGTTAAAAATCACAATTATATTTATCTGATCCAGGTTAAGAAAAATCTTCATTAAGTTATTGAATACATCTCAGTTTCATAATAGTAAATTTTGAATTTTTTTTATTTCTTAATAAAAAAAACTCTCTTAGTAAAATAATTACATATTTAAACATGGATCAGGAATTTTAGAATGACGAACTAATTGACCATACAAATAACAGAAACAAAAATTTCCAAAACACGAAATATTATTCATCAATTTCTTAACTAATTTTCAGTCGTTGCTATGGAAGATATAATACCGTGAAAACTTGATTTCAACTTTAATAAGGTGCGAAATTCATCTGACTTTCCGGTGAAATTGTGCCATTCTAGTTTAAAATGCAATTATTTTCATGATATTATAGTTTAACTAAATCCTTATAAAGAATGTAACAGTTTTGAAGAACAATATTATAGTTCATCTTAGATCATAATTTTCCAAAGTCTCGTGCTTTTATTGCACTGTTTCTTTAATTCATTATTATAAATTCTGAAATTGTTTTACTGTGGAATATTTTACGTCAGCAAGAATTTATTAAATTTTGAAATATTTCAAATTGTTTAAAATATGAACTGTTTAAACTTTCCAACTATTTAAAATATGAAATAAGCAAAGGATTTTATCATTTAGTTATTATTTATAACATTGATATGTTTTTTCCTCGCTAATTGGTAAAATTTTAAGTAAATAGTAAAGTAAGTATTAAATTAGTAAATCAGTAAATTATTAAAGTTTATAGAAGTAATCTTTACATACCCAGTTATAAAAAGATCTTAAAAATTGAAATAATTTGTGTTATAGATGTTTTATATACTGTTACGTGAAATTTTCGTAATTACCAAAATTAGAAATTGACGCAAACTCGATAATAAAACGATCGAAAATAAAGTGATACAATCATTGCAGATATATTTGGAGAGAGTTATTTTTCTTTATCCAAGCTCTGATTTTCTTAACACCAGCTTAAATGCAACACTACGCTGTAGTGTACAGGTAAATAGATCCAACATCATCATATTAAAAATTCAAAAACTTTTATTATTTATTACTATATGGAGCGTCTAATAATAATAAAAAACATTTTGCAGCTGTAAACAAAATTTCCCAGAAACGCTTTCTATTTCGCTTTTAATAAACGCTTTCTATGCTCTTTCATTAATTGATTAAAATTTTTGATTTCGAAGAAATTTTTCCTATTTACAGGAATTATTAATAATGGTAAGTGGAAGTTTATTGATATATGTCCAAAATATTTCAAGAATTAATTTAATCACTCATAGTAGAAATTTATTTACCTATATTTATCATTTGAAAAATGGATTAGAATATTTATATGAATTGTTATTTTTTTATTTGAATGCACAATTTTAAGTTTTTATGAGAGGTTAGGCTTATGTTTAAATTGGTTAACTATTTTGAGTTCATGAGCTAATGCTCCTTACTAGTCTACATAATTAACGCTTTTCCTCAATCATTATTATAACGTTAAGAAGTTGACTTTCCTTAAGTTAACAATAATCGCCTGCTTTAAATAACGATACATTTCAAATTTCTAGATTCACTCTTGTTTTCAAAACATATAGCATTTCTTTTAATAAAATTTTTATTAAAAAGTTATTAAGTGAGTTTAAGTATCAATGATTTTATTTAATATTTGCACTTATCATATTTAACATGAGAGAAAATATGATGTTGTTTCGTCTGAATGTATTATCTTTTATTCAGAAAATGTTTTTATTCTGAAAATCTTTGTTTATACCCTTTATTCAATAACAAAATTCTTGTATGTACTATCCAGCTGGCGGTGTAATAAGCGGTAAGATGATGTTTATTATGTCACATAATTTTGTTATAGTAACAAGAAAAAAACATTGAAAAAAAATCTACTCATCTTTTCTAAATATGTTTTGAGAATGGTTCATTTTAACAGATCACATATAATAGTATAGTCTCAAACAAAATTAACAAAATCACATATCACTTTCAAAATACAAAAACGATGATAGAAAATACCAAACAATTTATACATCTACATATAAAATTTGCAGTCAATGCATACAAAATTCTATTTCACTAAGCATCATTAAGTACAATGATTTTCATTAAATGTAATTACTGTTAAATATTTAATTCTGTTTGGAGTTTTTAATATAAATTATGAACAAAACTATACATTGAAGATTAATTCTTAGTATCGCCTATTTCAATACATATTGCTGGATTATTACCGATTATGTTAAAAATACATTTCGTTCAATCTCGTTCTTCTTCGTTCATAAAAACATCTAGAATGTACAAGATTTTAAAAATTAAAAGATTCGTTAGATTTCAAAAAAATTTTCCTGACAAACAATTAAAAGACCATTAAAGATTATAATATAAGTATTCTACTGTACATGGATTTACTCGGTGCAAACAGAAGGACAGATAAATATATGAATGACTCATCATAATTTTAAAAAAAATTTAAATGTATTCATATTAAAAATAATTATCAATATATTTTTGGGGAATCATTAATTAGGTAGAATGTTGTTTGTGTATATTTAATAATTAACTTAATTATATAGCTAAAAAGTTCAAATATTCTTTTTCTTTTGAATGAATGTTAATCTGAATATTTCTTTGTTGGCTTCAGATGTCACGGCACATGGAAGTAAGTTCATTTTAAAATTTTAAACATTCAAATTACAACTATATCTAATTATCCATTACGCTAAGTAAACTATTGATTGCATTTTGTGATTCGATACTTGCAAGCAACGTCACGCGTTATTCAACCAATCAGGTTCAACACATAGACGTAGCATCGCTTACAGGTATACAAATAAATCTGAACCTAAAGTTTATTCAGTTCCTTAATAAACCCAAGCCTTTAACAGTATAAGCCATACACAACCATGTGATGATTAGACACAGCCATATGTGATTAGTTGCACACACACAATTGTGATATTTAAATAGTTCGTGTACTATTCACTCTGATTTTTTTTGCGGAATTTAAGTGATGAACCAGTTTATTAGTGAATTGAGTGATGATCTTAATATTTGAGAAATTTCTTTCTGTCTTGAAAAAAGAAAGACTCGTAAATAGAAGAATTATAATCTTCTTCTTTTCTTCTTAATTGATTATTTTAATTTCCAAATCTATAAGCAAGTTCTCTACAAAAGATATTATGTTAAGCAAATTTGAAACAATAGTTAGAACAAAGTTGTTTCTCTCTCAATAAAATGAGTTTGTTGCTTTCCATTTCATATCTAAAATGTAAAAGTTTCACTTGCTCTCAAAACATTTGCCAAGCGTTATTTAGTTGAGATACGTTTGAGAATGCCTAATTATGCTGCCTTGGCAAGCACTGAACTAAAAATTTTATTTGCAAATATTTTTAAAGAAAAAAAACAACTAAGTAAAGTTTGATAGATGATTTGTCAGTATACAGATCTTTGAAGTGAATTTATAATGCAACACAATACAGCAAATTTTTGTAAAAAATGATTTTATTATTTAAAATATATTCGAAAAATACCACGCCGTAAACGACAAAATATAAAAGAATTTTAAATTTTTTTTTCACAAAATTATATTTGTTTGAAAGAAGAAAAATTTTTACTTAAAAGAAACTAGATTAAATAATACAGTGCAAAATCTTGTAGTAAAAAGTGCCTATATATTACTCAAATAAGTAAAGATCATTTACGATATAATTTTTTGCCTCTTAAAAATGCCTGTTCATAAATTTTTATTTTTGTTGAGATTTCATATTTTTATGTGCACACGGTAAAATGAAGAGCTACTTTAGGCGGCTAATATCTCAATAAATTCCTTAAAAGGAAAAATGTGAGAAATGTTTTTTTCAACATTTCTCTGCTTTCGACGTTAGCAACAGATTTTGTTACACAAAAAATAATATTTTAAATAATTACTAAAACTCGTTATGAAATTTTGAACCCCAAGTAAATTTTTCAGTAATATTCCATACCTGGGGTCTGTTTAGAGAAATTTGGGTCCGTTAACGGACCCTTCACAAAATATCTTTTCATTAAAACGGACCCTTCACAAAATATCTTTTCATAAAAACGGACCCTTCACAAAATATTTTAACTTAAAAACGGACCCTTCACAAAATAATTTATCTTTTAATCTGACCCTTCACAAATTTGTTTATCTTCATTATTGTTTTGCTAATCGAATAAAACCTTCCCAGGGGGGGGGGGAAGAGAAAGACAGATGTAAACAAACTAAGTTTTGTCTTCGTCAGACGCTTCTTCCTTTATTCCTCCGAAATAAATATTCTGCGTTCAGCAGTAAAGGCTAAATACGAAATATTTGTATGTTGGCCCTCTCATTTAGTTGCAGCAATAGCTGTTTATTTTTGAAAATTTAATTTTTTTTATTTATTATAATTTTACAGTGTTAAGCATAATCTTGTATGTCTTTACAATTTAAAAACTCCTTGAAAAAGTTTTTTGGCAATAACGGACCCTATTTGCACAAATTCACAAAAGCGGACTCTGGTTGAAAGAATGTGACTTAACGTTCTTTTTATATTCACAAATTACGAGTAATTTTTTCACAATTTTACAAAAACGGACCTTTCACAAAATGTCTGGACAGACCCCTGCATACATTAATCTACTATATTATTATTCAAAATTAAAAAATAAACAAAATTGCATACTGACAAAACTATTTTTCCTCTATTAAAAGCGAAAAAAATTAGTAATAAAACTATCTGATAAATACAGATGTAAAGCAAAAATGTTACAAATAAAATTTGTTAATATTTCATATTTAATACGCAGCAATAACTTTCATTCGTAAAAACATATTCAGTTTTCTAATAAATACGTGTATTTTTCTAGATCTCTTGGGAGTCGCAGGTAAAAAAAAATTGTGTTTTTATTTTAAATCTATCTACTTATTTTACTTTAAATATATCTTCTTATTTTACTTGAAATCTATCTTCTTTCCTACTAAAACATTTTCCTGAAAAAATTTTTAAAAAATACGCAAGTGATAATATTGGATGCCATTTCATAATTCTGATTGTCTGACTGCATTTTTGTGTTACTTATTCTACGATGCAAGGCTTTTTTTTTGTTGCCGTTGCATAATTTAAAAATTTTTTCTTACAAAAATTGCGTTAAAGGCGAAATAATTCGTTATTTCCTTTACTTAAATTCTATCAGACAGCTATTTTATCAGACACAATATTCTATCAGAAATGACTTGTTAAGATCCAAAACCTTTAATACAACAAATTTCGAATCGGAATTCAGATTGCTTATTTGTTTATTTTTCTTAGGAGATCGCTAGTTGTTTTGTTTTGTCAGTAAACCCCTTTTCGAACTAAATATTCTCAGAAGCAATGAAGTACTAAAACAGCATTTTCTTACCTTTAGTGTATCCAAGGTAGTAAAGATATTCCCTATCTATTTGAATAATTTTAATAGCTCACCTAAGCTTCAGGCTTGTAAATTTTATTGTAACTAACTAATTCAGGGTACCAACTTTCTATTCATTTCTAAATTCTGAGGTGTTTTTTGAATGAAAAAAAACCCAGCTTACTTAGGGTTTATTTTAATGTCATTAAATATTTCATTTAAACCGTGCGTTTGTCAGTCGCGAATGAATAACTGTAAAATATCTTTAACAAAAGCAATTCTCGATCTCTGAAGAACATTTATAGGGTCACTCTCTATTAATGAAAAGCAAGATGAAGTTTCCAAAACAATATAAATTATGTCTTACTAATAAGAAAAAAAAATTATAATGATATAAATTTCATTTTATAATACTTAGTTAAAAGTTGCTGCAAAAGTCTCGTTGTTTGTTTAAAAAAAAATTTTGTTGCTATTTTCCTGGAAATGCAGAAGTATTACAAAGGAGTAAAAAAATAAAAGAAAAAGAAAAAAAGAAAACACGTTGTTTTTCCTTTTCAATTATATATTTGCTGTTTTCAGCCAATAATGTTGAAGAACATTTAAATTAGTGTCAGAATTTTTTTCTTTTAAATGCAGTAACAAAATGTATGAACCTAGATAGGGCAGCCATTTTTATTAACTAAAAATTAGAATTTAAATTTTTTCGATAAATATTAAAAAATAGAGTTAAAATTTTGATATTAATTTTGGTATGCAATTATTATAATTAACAGGTGATGCTGTTGATCGTAAGTAAAAAATTTTAAAAAAATATTTTTTATTTTTTTGAATATTTATAATTTGATGTTAAATTATTTTTTAGTTAAGTTTGAAGTTAAGAAACCAAGAAGAGAAAATGAAATTAGAAATTGTAGAAATTACGGAGATGGAAAGTTGCAATAAAAAAATTCCATCTGAACTTGATTTTTTAATTTTATTTAATGATAAAATGTCGAGATTTTAGACTTTTACTGGAATTCAGATATCTTATTTTCGAAATTCCAAATTTTAAATGTGAATACAATAGAGCTTTAAACAATCAACTCAAAAAAAAGTTAAAATGGTAAAAAAAATTAAACAAAAGAATTAACAGGAGCAAATATATATATATATATATATATACATGTACCTCAACTTTTAAAACATATGAAAATAATTACTTCGACCACTGCAAATATGTTAGATAAGCTCCTTTGGATGATGAACCAGAATTCGTTCCTTTTTAATAATGATCAAACACCTCTTTTGAATTTGCTTTATTGATCTAAGCTGTAATTTTGATAGTAAATCCTTTGTTTATAAAATTTTCTTGAGCCTTAAAAATTGGTCGCTACTAAATTAAATTAACACAAACTATATTAAATTGAATTCAACAAGAATTTTAACAAAAACATATATTAAGGGCGAAAAAGTTGTATATCTTGTAAATTATATTGACAATTTGACTTGAGTATATGTTATATACATGAAATTAATTACGGATTATAATGACATATTTTAGATGTTGGACATGCTGGTAAGGCTTTTGAATTATATATATTTGAATGTATGCTATATTATATATGTATCTAAAAAGCAACACTCAAGTTTCACCTTACAAACTTTCATTGCTCAGCAAATTATTTCTAAAAAGAAAAATTGCATAAGCTGAGCAACACTTAAAATATTTTTTCTGTTAAACAGAAATAATGTATTATTCCGTTTCAGTATAAAATAGTATTTGAAAATGCATTTTGCATATAAAGAAAAATTAAATTGATACTTGCAATGCATTTTACGACGCTAAATTTTGAATTTCCTAATATTTTCTTAGTCCAAAAAAATATTAGCCAAGTGTAAGATCTAAATAGTGTTACTATAACTTTAATAAAAGCTGTAATAAAAGCTATAATTCAGGAATTTTGATATATAAAATAATTAATAAAGCTTTAAGAGTTGATATAACTTCAATATCAATGTAAATTATTATCCAAAAAGAAAATACGATTTGAATAGTATATTTTGATTATAAATAAAAATTTTTACTTGTACTATACTGTAAAAAGTTACAGATCAAATTTCGGTAAAATTACCGAAACTTAAGGCGTCGATACTTTTAATCGTTAAATTTATTTTCACCGGAACATCTCTCAGAAGAAAAGATCTGATATACAGAAATTTTTACAGTAGTCATTACCGTAAAATCGAGAAATTACTCTATTTAAATGCATGATACAGTAAAAATTACTGTATAATATGCAACAGTAAAAATAGACTGTACGGATAATGAGCCCAAAGTGCTGGTACTTTATTTTGAAATTTGATTGATACCGTAATTTACAATGTACTTGAAAAGTCAAAACAAAAGAAAAATCATCTAACGAAATTGTTTGTTAGCAAAACTTTATTTGAAAATGTACTTAACTTTCCTGATTATTTTTTTATACTAACGAACTTTTGGTAAAATGAAATGCATTTTTCATTTGCAAACATATTTTTTGTTCCCTTTCATTTTACAAATGTATATTTCAATGTTATTTCAGCTCAAGGCTTAGTTGACAGTAAGTAATATTTCAGTCTTTAATTTTTCCATTACAAAATTTGACTTTCATTTGCATAAGCCAATATTTCAAAATATGAAAGAAGAGTTAAAAATCCATTGATGAATTAATGTTATTTTATTCATAACATATTGTTTGTGTATTGAATATATTTAAATGTATTAAATAAATAAAAATAGAATTATTTAATTGAAAATAACATTTCCAAATAAACATTTTAGTAGACTAGACAAGTACTTTTCATTTTATAAAAATAATTGAAACTTAATTAATATTATTAAAAATTGAATCATGTAGAAAATTTTAAATACCGTTTATAAGTGAGATTGCTTATTCTTTAAATACAAAACATTATATTTTGTTAAAATTTGGTCAACGAATATATTTAAATAAATGTTAAATTTAAGTTTTAATCATTTCGAATTCTTGAACAAAATTTGTAAATCACTAACATTTCTTACGAAAAGTAAGTGTAATTATCATTTTTTTTAAATTTCAAATTCTGCCAATAAGCTCTAATTCCTTTTTCTAAGACATATTAAGCATTAAAAAGCACTTGATTACAAATTGCTGTCATAAATGTTGTCTTCAATTTTTAAATAAACATTCGTAATGTATATGGTGTATTATTATATTTCTTGTTTATTTTCTTGCAAATATCAGATGTGGATCATGGGCGTAAGTATTAACTCCTTAATTAAATATTTAATTTTAGACTATCGCAGTACAATGAAGCAGAAGAAAAATTAATTCACCCATGTTGAAGAAAAAAGAAAAGAAAAGAACATGAAAATTTTTTTTAATTTATTGCGCTGGGAATTTTTTTTTTGCATCAGATGTTTCATCAGATTTTTGATACTTTTTGTGTCGCTGATTTAAAATCTGCAATTTTTTTCCTCCCCATGTTACGGGCTTTATATTTTTTAAATTACATTTTCAGTCTATTTTTTTGTCGAAATGTAGAAGTTTAAGATTGTTATATGGGACAGAGTGTCGCGTAAATACTACGGCAAATAAAGTGATTAAGGGTTTATTATCAGATTTAAAATGGCATAGAAAGCATGTTCAGGAAGGTCGTCAAATATCGCAAAAGGCACTTCCCTATTATGAACTGTTTTTATGCTTTTGAACTGGCCATTACAATGAAGTATAATAGGAAAATTACGAGATTCTTATTTACCTCAATTCTTCTCATTTAATACTTAGTAGATCACAAAGCTAGCAAAACATTCTCTAAATCGATTTCATTCTGCCATTACTCTTTAACAATTTTTCAATAATCATTTAAAGAAACTAACAGTGTACCCGATATTTATTTGAAATCTGTCTGTTTGATTAATAATGCAGTTCCAGTACTTTATATAAATTTTCTTGTGTAAACAATGATGAACTAAATGAAAGTATAAACATGCCATTTACAATCCACCATTTACCAATATTTATTGTTAAATTTTACTTTTTCTAGTTGGAAACGGAATAGATGGTAAGAGCATTTTGATACATTCTTTTTAGAATTTAAATATTTGTTACGAATGAATGTTGTAAAATTTATCAACTGCTCAAGCAGTTTGGAAGGCAGAGAAAGAACAGTTTGATCGCTCTGCTTTCTTTATATTGCTTTCTTTATATTCTTTATTCTTTGCTTTCTTTATGTTATTTATAAGATTAGAAAAACTTTATTCAGCTGGATAAATTATGCGAAAATTTTAATTATATTTTATTGACATTACTGCCGGTGAAAAGATAAAGTTGGAAAAAATTATTACAGACAATAAAAGTACATTTATAAATTTAAATATCACCCAGTCAAGGTGTTAGGTGAGGAATGTGCATTCTGATTGGACTGCACTTTCCCTAATCTCGATTGTTTGTCTTTTGAAATAACGTCTTCTGTTTAAACATAACCAGAAATCTCTCAGAACGGTTTGGACGATATGAACAAGGTGCGAATAAAATGATTTCTGCTCTTCTATCTTAATTGCGGTGTGCAATTATTGTCAATGAATTATCATTAAAAATTAATACGTAATACTGAACTCCACCTAATGCACAATATATTGAAGTAATTTTTGTAATAGCTGAAATAATATTTGACATACATAAAAATACACGAAGGAAGCGAAAGAGAAAATGAATATTAATTATTGGAATTAAAAATGAGCAATATGTTATTAAATTACACTAAGAAGATTTTTTTTCTGTATTAAATATTAAATTATACTAATGAAATTTATAAATTTCGAAATATTATATGTTTTGACTAAACAAAACGATTGAATAAATATTTCATTATTTATTACTGGAAATCAAATCATTTGATTATATTAAAAATGATTATACGATTATGGTTATACGCATGATTATACGAAAACCAGTTCGTCATAAACAAGGCGAATTTACATATTTTTGTTATTATCATTTTCTCCTAAACAAATCTCATGGCCAAGAGGTAGAACTTTATATTTTTGTTTCTTGTTTTTTTTTTCTTTTCAAATTTGTGGTAGGAATCTGTAATCCACTTACTTAATCTTAGAAATTATTAAAGAGGCTTAGGATTTTGAATTCTTTGCATAGTTTAAATCTGCGATGCATAATATTATATTTTCATTAATAAAAATTAAGGAAAATGCAGTAACTGGTTGCAAAAGCACATATTTCATCATTTCTATTCTAAAATCGTGTTAAGTAGAAGTGCATTAGTTATTATTTGATTATTTAAAAATGGTAGATTGAATACCGATACATTTAAGAATGTTTATATTGTTTTCTGATTAATATAATAATTTCCAAAGCTCTGTTATTGCTTGGACATACAAATTTAAAATATATAATATTGAAAATTTTTATTTTCAGATCTTGCTTGTGGAGGTAAATATTTGTACACTATATATTTTTTTTAATTATTTTTTTTTATTATTGCTTGAAAACTGCTTTGTAATTCTCTCTTTACAAGTATTATTGATTTCAGTTTTTATAACTTGAAAAAAAATATTACCCTTTTTTGGATCTAAGAGGGGGAATAACTTGCTTAATATAACAAAAATATGATTAAATCAGAAAATTGCTTGCATCCAATTTCGATATTAATCGAAACTTTATCTGTAGGTTTTGACATCTTAATTTAAATAATTATTTTAAAAATAGAGTTATAAGTATAAATTGAGATAAAAAAAATTTTAAACTTGCTAGAATCACATTTCAGTTATTCCCAAATATTTATTATGATACTGTACAATAATTAAGAAATTAAAGTTCCAATAGTTTCAAAAATATCTGCAGCATACGAGATTTCCGTTTCAAAGCTAACAATGAGTGAACTTTTTATGTACTCTATATTTTTTATAATAATTTATCTTTTGAAATAAAGCAAATACAATATAAAGGATTTTTTTTTCAAATTTCACTTACTTGCAAAATCATTTTATTGAAATACTAAAACAACTGTCTTAGTAAACGTATGAGTCATTATGCAAAGTATATTAATAATAAAACCTTTGGTAAATTTTGTTCAATGATTGGAAAACACAATTATAGTTTTACCTATAAATGTCAATTATGGGTTATCATTTAACTATAATTGCAAACAACTATATCAACAAATCTATAAATGTTAGCCTATAATTCTAAGCAAAAAATTGAAAGGATGGCAGATTTCATCTACATCTCAGAAACCAACATTGTTCAGATGAAATAAGCACTCTTAGAAGAATATATTATCTATGAGACCTTAATTCACCCTATAGAAAGCTGTAAATTTTGCCATCAGCTTTTTAACTATTTTTCTTGCAATAAATAAATTCAAGTCTAGAGGAATTGGAAAACTTATTGAAATTCTGATCTGATAAATCAAAAATATCTTAGGGAAAAAAATTAAAAGTCTAAAAATTCAGTTTGAAACCCCTTTCCCTAGATGAGTAAAAGAAACCTAAAATAAATTTCAAGGAATGTTTAGTTTTAATTTTTTTAAACAATTTATTTGTTTTTCTTTTTATACCTTTTCTTCTTTAATTTTTATATTATTTGTTTTTATAAATAATTATGTTAGACATTGTGTCTAGGGTTTCATGAGACCTTAACCTCCCTATCCAACTGTCTTATAATGAGTTGAACCTACGATCAACAAATAAAGAATGCTGTTAATTTATTTTAGTAGTTAGTAATGATATATTAGTCTTTAAATCCATTATTTATCTTCTCACTTGATATTTCTTCCCAGTTGGAAAAATCGCTGACGGTAAGATCCATTTTACATTAATCACTATGGTTAAAGTAATAAATTTATTTAGTTAACTAAAGCTTGCTTACATACAGGATTTCTATGCATAATTTTTAAAATGTATCTTAATCATTGTTCTTATATCTGAAGTGATCATTTATCTGAAATTTGGATATGATAGTCTTTATTGAATTATGTCACGTATTAAATTAATCATCAAAATATTTTTTTATTTGAAAATTCTTAACATTATTTGCAATTTTTATATGATTAACAAACATTTTCCTAAAACTTTGCTTAAATAAATGAAATTTTTGATAAAAATAATATGTCGATTGATTCAATAGTCAAATTTATTTATACGCAATTTTTTTATTTATTTATTTTTATTGCAGAGGCTGCTTCAGCAAGTAAGTACTTTGAAATGCTTAATTCAAAAATTTTTATTCATATTTAAATTTTTATTAATGTGATACGTTATGAAAACATCACTTTTTTGTCATAAGTAATAAATAACTTCATCTTACATTAAAAAAAATTGTTGCGTCTTTTGTTTTTTTCAGTCCAGACTGGTAATTATATTTTACTTCATTATATTATAATGCTTTCCTAAATCTATATATATATATATANATGGGCACCTTAAATTAGATTTCCGTTTGTAATAAATTCAATAATGTAAAATAATACTTAAACATATAATATCAAAATTAATTTTCACATTTAAAAATAAAAAAGAAAGTTTTATTTCAAAAAAAATTTACCTAATTAATTAAGAAACATTTCTTTATATATTCTTTTCAATAATTCAGATTACGTTCAGAACAAGGTAACGATCACAAAATCAGTCCCACTGAAAATAATCTACAAGAAACCATATCAAGTCGCGACAAAGAAGAATAAAAAACTAAGAGGTGCGGAAACGAACATGTGAGATCACGATATATGCTCTCGAAAATGATTCTAATTCTACCGCTCATCCATCAAGGCCGTTTCAATATAACGATACGTACATCGTCTTCCCCAGTGCGAGTTGGCATCGGAACGTAAGATCCTTGCGTGTCTTGTATCGCTATATCGCTCGTCTTCTTTACTCGACGGCTTAAATCAGATTTCTGATGCATCGCCTGGAACGAAAGTCGCTGTATCGGCCTGCCGATACAGGCGTTAAATCGTTATGTCGCGATATATCGATTTATAGCCCAGTACTAGTCAAGATATAACACAGATCACTTAGTGAAAATCTGTTTATTTTTCTTCTTTTTCCTCTTTATGCTGATGATTCATGTTTAAAAAATATTATAATCAAACATTTCTAAAGGATAAACTCTCATTGGATTTAGGTAATAGAACTAAAATACATTTTCGGGATTAACTTACTTTTGAATAATTATATTTAATACTTTATGCTAATTGGTAAATGTCTCTACTTTTATCTACCCCATAAATCTTATAATCATTCCTCAAATAATACTGATTTTGCTTAGAAAGTATATAGACAAGTAAGGGCTGTAAAAAAATATGGAAACATCTCTATACTAACTCTTTTAAACAATTTTTCATTTAACCTAAGTATTTGAAGGTTTTGCATGCCAAAACTATTGATACAATTTGAAAGATCGTGCTTGAACCTTTATTAAAATTGCTTCATATTTACGTCATATTTGGATCTTTCAAAATGAGAAAAATAAGTTTAAAACGTCTTGCTAGTTTTAATGCCAGCGATTTCTAAACCATTCCATAATATTGCAATTTTTATATTATGATGCGTTTTTAGTTATAGTGGTATTAAAAAGGAAAAAAAGTTCGTAAATTTCACTTGGGTAAAACGAGACGAATTTTTCTAAGAGTTTCAAGCATGATTTTTCGAACTGTGTCATCAGTTTTTCCATACAAAATCTTCCAAAACATTTGTCTCTAATCCTATATATATATATTAGCGACTATATATTACTATATATTGCGACGATATATACATTATATCCGCTCCTATATATATATATATGTGTGTGTGTGTGTTACAGGAGTTTCACTATTATTTCTTAATTTCAAAGTTATAAGAACACTATAAAATATATAACTTTTAAATTAATATTTTATACTTCAAAAATCAATGCGTAAATGTTTACTTATTATTTTGAGCTTATAATCACTTTTTTGTTTTATTTTTCATATCAGGTAGTGAGTATATCTCTGATGTTTCTGTTTTATCTCTGATGTAAAAAGAAAATTCTTAATATATTTTATATAATTGGTTCACTGAATAAAATATATACATCAAGATGTTAGGCTAGCTATTTAAAAATAATTTGAAATTTGCAGTCGGGAATGCTAAATTTTACTTGTTCAATTATATATTTTTCCTTTTCTTGCATAAGAAGTCATAATAAATATTCAATCGTATTTAAAATAAAATTAAAATTTTGATTCGAATTTATGTTTATTTAATTTTAATAATAAGCATAAAAAAGCAAACGAATGGGATATTATATTTTCACTCCAAATAAAGAAATTAATTTCTTTATTAAATATTTTCCTACTTCAAAATATGTCTAGTAATATGTCTACTAGTAAATAGATCTTATAATATATATGGGTGAGTCTCACGAAATCTGACAATTTACAGTCTCTTGCTCGAAGTTCTAATATTATACTACTAAAAGAACTTTTTTTTAAAATTTTAATAAATAGCATTGTTAGCATTTTAAAATGACTTTGTACTACCATCGACTGTTTTGCACTATCATGATAGTATAAAATTTCATTGAATTTCAAATATCATGACTTTGGTATATCACAAACAATATTTCCAATAATAACTAGCTTTTTCAATATCTATTTTTTTTATCTCAACCGTTGTAAGCATTTCTAGACTATACGCAGAGGGTATTATTTACAAAAACTTCGTTTAAAATAATTATTTTTGTCAATAATTTGTTTTTCACATGAAAATCTGTTATTTACCTGGCAACTTATATTTAGTAATTTATAACCTAAATAGATAGCCCCAGCATTTAATATCTTATGTTAATAGATTGATTCAATACCATCTTATCTGAACATGTCTTATTGCATGAATAAAGAACCAACTTTCTGGTTCAAAATCTATTTAAAAAATTTTTTCAAGGTGAGTAGGTTTTTATGTTGTCATTTTCCTGTCTTCTTAAAATTATTAATAATATAAACTACATAGATTTATCGGAGTTATTTAAAGAAATCCTGGTGTTTTCTGCGGAATGTAAACGTCTTAGACCAAAATGTTAAATTAAATTAAAGTTAAATGCTATAAAATGGCAAATTTGTCATTATCCTGGCTTCGGAATGGCAGGACATTGAAGTGTTACCAGAAAATTTTTTAAACAGCGTACTGTAAAGAGGGAAAGCAAATATTAACCTAATACCAAGTTTATGTATGATTGTAATATGCTTGAATGTACTCAAAATTATTTATTTATTTAATGATTGATTGTTATACACAACTTTATTCTGTACATATCAGCAACAAAAGTATTTTTGATTCTTTCTACAGTGGATAAAAAGAATCAATTTAAGCAATTTATGGCCCATCTAACATAAAGGCTTAAGTTGAGTTACTTACTATTAGCCTAAAATGACATATATGATTAATTTAATATGTCAGCTATAATATGTCATATTACAGCTGATATGTCATATTAGCTTATATGTCATATAGCTAATAAGTCATATTAGCTTATAATATGTCATTTTCCTGGTATTCAAGAATCGGTGAATTTCTATTTTTTTTTTCTTGAGCAAACGTCAATAAATTACACTGCTGTCTGTAAGATATTAATAAATGTAACTAAATAAGTATACAAAAAAATTAGATTATTTTGAAGACTTCAAATTTGAAGAAAATTCATGGTCCGAANGTAGCCATATCTAGCACCTATAGACCTTATATATATATATATATATATATATTTCTCAAATAAAATAACGTATCTACACCTTTTTCTTTTTAGATCTCGTTGGAGGAGGTAAGTGATTTATGTGTTAGAGATTTTTTAATTTAACTGCTTATTGGGGCATTTGCGTAGTTATATTGTAATTTTAAACTAATAATTCTCATTTTTATTTTTTACAGTTGCCGACATAGCTGGCAGTAAGTATTTTTTATTATTCATAGTATTTTTTTATTTAGCTCTTAAAGGTTCTAGATTTTGATTTCCCTTAATGTACAATTAAAAATAAATACTTTTTTAATAAGAATATTCATTTCAGAGGGAAGAAATATGAACAGAAATAACAAAATCTACTTCATGTCTAAGTGCTAAAATTTGGAGTCGATTTATCAAAACTCCTACTTTTTTAACAACAAAAAATTATGCGAAAGATTGAATAATGGAAGTGCCAAAATAGTAACTTCAATAACTCAACTCAATTTGCATAATCTATAAAGTTTCATTAGTTTTGTCTGGTGTATATAATGAATGCATTAAAATATGAAAGAAAATAGAATAATTATTAGGATACATCCTGAGGGATGTTATTTGCCGAAGTTTGAATCTGAATTTATTTTTCTCGTATGAAAAAAAACGCTTAGTATAAAACTTTAATCGAAATAAAATTTTGAAACAATAGCAAAATTGAACATCAGTCACATAGTCAAAAAAAAGTCTAATTAATTTACCATACCGTTGGTAAATGGTATTTTTAGTAAAAAAGATCTTAATTATGATTACAAAAACCAAATTATACGGTATTTATCTATTTGCAATTTTTCCATTTGTATGGCAACACTTTTCCCGAAATAAAAAAACAACAAACTTAGCGTTTTTAAAACGTTTAAAAGACATTTACTTAATTATAGTAACTTAAACCACACACATAGTAAAAAAATCTCAAAAGTAAATTTAACCAAATAAATTTTATTTTTGCCATGCTCTAAGATGTCATAACATTTACCAAGTTTTGTCACATATTATAAAATCATGTTTGTTTTAGTTTTACCAAATTCATTAACGTAGCGTTTTTTAAAAAAATTACTGAGCTGTTTGGTGTTTCCCTACTGCCCGAAACACGGTTTACCATGTTTTGGTAGTTTTGATCTCATTTTCAGTGAAAAAGAAATTTAAGTCGTTAGAGTTTCTTTAAGAGCAACATCACATTAAATTACTAGTAGAGATATAAGTATTAACATTTTAGACAATATATATTTTGAAAATTAGTAATAATGACGCTTTTGGAAGTTTTTTACTTAATTTTTTTAATTAATATGACTTAATTTTTTAATTAATTTAGGTACGGCAAATTTTTTGGTATAAATTTATGTCACCGTAATTTCTTACAATTATATTTCTAAAATTGTTGCATCGTTTTTTATAAATTTGGCACAATAACATATTTGAATGCAGGCAAATATAAATTCCTAAGATAGCAAGTTTAAATAAAACGCAAAAACTATATAAAAATGATATAAATAATACGTGCAATGATGTTATCGAACATATAAGGATATATTATAACAGTAGATATTACGATATATAAAATAAAAGTATCTACTTTTTGAAAATTTCGCCTCAATTTAGAAATGTAAAACTAAATTCAGGAGGAAAAAATACGTTTCTAATTCCATACATTGTATAATTTTTATACAACAATTAATTTCAACTGAAAAAACTGTAATCTATATGTTATGAAATTGCATAAAATATAATTTTTACAGCGGCAGTAACAAGTGGTAAGTAAAGTTATAAGTTTTTTGTTGGAAATTTTTTGAATCTTGTACTTGGTGTAAATTTAAAAACAGAATTTTGGTACTAAAAATACTTTGCTTTCGGTATATATTTAATTATTAAATCACTTATATTTGCAAGATGTATTTCTAGAATAATTAATTTTTCAACATTTTTAATGTTAAGTTTGAACTCAAAAAAAAAAGTTTAAACTTTTGGTCCCATCTCTTACTAAATAATTAGAACAATTAGAACCATATTTTCCAGAATCCGGCTAACCCCATATTTTGAGAGTTAAGAATATAAATCCCTAAAAAAAAGATAGGTCTTCTCTGAAGTACGATTTTGGGTCAGCTGAGTCGTCATCACTAACTAATTAGTATTTTTGAAATTATGCCATTGAACCATTAAAATTGAGTCTTAGAGACCCATTAATGAAAGTTTCCTTTTTTACTTAAAATTCCATCATAAGATCAAAAGTTATTAAGGATTGTTTTTGCATTGTCCAAAGCGCAAAAATATTTGAGTACTAAAAAAAGGAACAACTTGCATTTTTCTAGTGAACGAATATTTATTATTTAATTGTTTTTACCTACTTTCACTGGCTTATAGATGCATTAACAAATAGTATAAAATAAAAAAATCAAACTAAAATGAAAAAAAGAAATTAAAAAATATGATCCAATTCAAAATGAAGAAAATTGTGATCACCGCCAGGCTATCTCTGGTTACCCATTACCAAAATGGGTGTTATCTAATATTTTTCGGGAAAGCAAGTTTATGGTGTTTTCATCTTGGACATCTTTAACTGTTAATCCTGAGCTGCTCAGTACACAATTTCACAGACATATTTAACTATACACCTTACACACATTCTGTGTAAATTCTTTTGATGACTGAATAGACATTGAACAGCCAATCAAGATCAATAACATTTTTGGATTGGTACAATGGTGTTTGATGGAGATAGTAAGCTGCATCATACCGTTTCGGATTCACAAGTTCGTAAATTAAATTTGATTTCGAAGCTAGGTATTTTGTTTAATTTTATATGAATAGTGAATGTACAATTTATATTGCGTATTATCTACTGTCTTGTGCAAATTATTGGGTACGTTGACAACGGATCTTTTTATCCCTAACTGGTGATCAACACCCAGTTCTCGTATTTGCATCAAATGGGTTCGGAGAGTCACCGTTCGCTCTTCGGTTGGGTACAATTCTCTCAACCACTCTGATCCCACAATTGGCATTACATATTTATTTTCTATCCTTTTAAAATATCTTTCCTTTCTTAAGTTTATTTTTATTAATAGAATTATATTTAAAATAAATCAAAGACTTAATCTTTTAAAACGAACGTAAAATATTTATTCTTCTCTTATAGATCAATGTAACGGATACTTTTTATTTCATTACTAGGCAGACTTATTAATTCACTGTCGCCTCTTATGGAAAACAAAATCTATTAATGACATTTTATTCTAAATTTCTAACCACTAAATGTTTCTGTTGCATGGTTGTAATAATTCTCATAAATTTGTTGGCGACTCGTGATCGCCAAGGTGCTCTTTTAAACCCAATATTGATATGCTGGTAGGCTTTGTTTTGACTATGGTATATTTTGATAATTCGCCAATTTTGGATCTCCTACCCATACTTTCTCTGTCCGTTAGGAATAAATATATAGACTTCTAATTTCAAATTTTGGAGGCTGGGAGTGCCCTTACGGGCCTCCCCAGTCTCAATACCTAACCGTCAGAAAATGATATTCTGGTTGTATGATCTCTCAATAGAGAGTATTCTGATTTTATCCTTTTTATTAAGAAATGGCCATTCTCTATCATGCAAAATTATGCTTAATAAAATCTAAATTTCATGAAACAATTTGTATATTCTTTCCTGGAGACTGTTAATTGCTTAATCCATTCATTAATGGCCAAAATGAACAATCATGAAGTTATTTTCCACTATACTAATATTGGCGGCTACTGGTGGAGAACTACCTCCGCCATAACCACTTTGGCACTTTTGTGAGGGATGGGCTTCATGTTTCCACTTGCGAACGGAATCATTTCGTTTTTCCGTTTGTCTGTAACTCTTGAGGTATTCCCGTCTACATTCTTTGACCTTGGCTTTTTCAGCCTCCGTAAGTTTAGGCCTTGCCATCGTTTTTTTTCTTCTTGCTTCAACTATAACTTTTGAGACCGTGTCTATCAATTTGAATCCTCTTTATTTGTGATATTCACCTGAATTAGAGTTGAAAACGATCCAGTTTGAACTGTAGTTTAGAATTCTTAATAAAATAATGTAGTTTGATTCTTAGTAAAACAATAAAAGCAAAATTATCGTTCAAATTATGAAATTCTGTTTAATTAACATCTCAAGAAGTATTTATAGGATCTCTCTGGTCCCATATCGCAAAAATAAGCTCACCAACTCAATGCATAACAAAATTTAAAGTGAAAAAAATAGATTTAAAAAAAATCAAACAGCAACAGTCGCCATAGCAACGCATGCGCACGGTTTACTATTACTCTTGAGTAGTGTAGTTGAAAAGTGAGGACGCTATAAAATCCAAACCAAGACCCATTTTGCAAATGGTTAAAAATTAAATAAATAAACAAAGAAATAAATTGAAATGCAAACGATTTCTTAAATAATTAAAATCTGAATGCTTGAAACAATTTTGTTTTATAAAAAATTCTATTTTTTTACATTTAAGCAGATTTACTTTTTAATAAAAGCATGAAGCATCAAAAAGCATAATTTTTTGTACATAAATCAAGTAAAAGGGATATATGCACATGCATTTAAAGTTTTGCGAAGATGCCGGTCGATGTATCTCGAGGTCAGGGAACTGACCTCGAGATCTAGCGCTCGAATCTCTGATAACGCATTGAAGTTCTTTTCTCCTCTTCACATAACTATTTGTTCTTCTTAATGTGGGAGCAACATGGGCCCACCGAATTAGGTGCCCTTAAGAGGAAAGCTCAACAAATCTGCCCTTTTGATATCCGAATGACAAAAGTTTGTATCCAGATGGCCATTTTGATATAAAAAACGGTTTTTTGAAGGTTAACAATGATGTCTTGGCAGGAAACTAAGAAAAAAACAAACTTTTTTCTCTCCCTATTATGTTTTTTTTTAAACTTAAAACATAAATTTTTTCTCACTTTCAGTTGCAGATACACTCGGTGGTAAGTATGAAAAAACTAAAATTTGGTATTTTAAAATTTAAATAAAATTTAAAAAGCAAGGAAAACAATGGGAAATGAATAACTTGATTAAGCGAAAGTAATTAAAGGTCTTTTTAAAATGCTAGCCAACCCTATTTCAACAACCGTTTTTGTTGATGTTTTGTTTGGGGTAGCCTTATTATTTGAGGCAAAAAAATATGAAAACTTAATATTTCTAATTATCTTAATACGAATTCTGTTAGACTAAATGCAAAGATTTTGATATCAAATTACTGTTAAAAGTAAAAAGAGCATTGAGTGCAGCATCCGTACACTGAGAAAAAGCCTAAAAAAAATCAGCGATGTATGGTAACGACATTTCTGCTAGAGAAACTTAGTTTGGGATAATAAAGCCAAAATATAAGGTGAATAAATTTTCCATTTGGTACTTTTTCCGTTCACTTAGTAAAAATTTACCTTAAAATCAGGTTTTTATACTTATAATGCTTATAAACACACGTTTATTAAAAATACAAACCTGAAAAGTAAATATAACCGAATAAATGGCTTTCATGATATGCTCTAAGGTATCATGATAAAATTATCGAGCTTTACCACATTTACGAAATTTTATCACATATTATAAAGCCATATTTTCTTATTGATTTTGTAAAAATCAATACTAAAGCTACGCCTGTAAAATTATGGAGATTTTTTGTTTATCCATGGAGTTAGAAGAACTGCAATATTTACCTGTAAGTAACTGTAAGTTTTAACCGTAATTTTTTTTCTCAGTGTGAACTCCATTTTAATCATAACCTTGTGCCACTAAACCCTACATTCAATCAACCAATCAGGCATTTTAATCATAAAAGTTTATACTGTGGTTTTTACAGTATTATTTATCTAATCAAATTGATTGAAGGATTTTAAAGTTACTATTACTATAAAAATTATAGTACATCAGTTTTTTGGCTTCCTAAGACTTTATATAAAAAATACTGGCACCTTGAGAGCCCTTAGCTTCTACTATAGTTTGATACGGTGTTAAAATACAATACCAAGATACAATTATTTTTAAATCTTAAACAGTGAAGGAATGAGTTTGGAATTTTGGTCAGGGCATTTGATTTGATCAGAAATAATTAAAATAAATAAATGAATATAAAAATATCTGAAGACTTAAACTAACAAATCTGTAAAATTATCAGTTAACCTTGACTCTGCTCAAAAGAATAGCAATCTCGTAAAATATTTACTATATAGTTAATTTTATAACGCACTTAATATAATAATATTATAATTAAACTTACAATTAATATTATAATGAAATTATATTGTTAATCACGTAATCACACTATATTTTAGTGTGTCATATTTTATGAATTTTAAAATTTTTCACAAAATTAAAATTTTAAGAATATTAGAATAAAAAATTACAAAAAAATAGAAAATTGCCATGTTTTAGGTGAAAATTAAATTATGTTACATCTAACTGATCAAATTTTTTTTTAAACTTTTTCAAATTTTTTATTACAGCTCTTGTTGGAGGAGGTAAGTAATTGCTAAATCGAATCGCAAATATTAAAATTTTCCTTCAATTCATTATTTTCTTAAAAACTAGAGAAAATACTCATAATTACTTCATAAGAAAAGTCGTTATGAAAATATTATTCAATGAAAGAGAAGATTTTTAAAACACCTTGAACGAGAATCTCTTCAACGGTTATTGTTTTATAGACAATTTTAAAATAAAAACTGTAAAATGACCAAATAGAACAGCTCTTCTTAATTTTGACACTTTACCTTTCTATCAATTGTGTTTATATTTTTAATACAATATTTAAATTTTTAGCGAATAAAGACATTTTCAAAATTTTTGACATCTGCTCTGCACTTCCCCTTAAATTTGCATCCTAAACCAATCTCTTAAATAATAGAAAGAAGATTTCGAGGTGCAAGAAATTAAATGAAAAACCAAACTATTGAACACACGTTGTTATTTCTGATTTCTAATTTCAGATTTTAAAATTGTTTAGCACCGAAACCAATTGGACATTTTTATTTATTCAAAACGTGATTCTAATGTTTTTCTTCGTATGTAAAAATATTCAGAAAATTTAATTCTAATGTTTTTCTTCAAATTCTTCACCCAATGTTTTCTTAATGTTTTTCTTCACCCAAACCATTCATTTGATTTTGATAAAATAATTTATCTTGGATAAAAAAATTCTTAAAAAATTTGAAGCTTCCAATATATAATAGTATTCTGAAAGAATACTGGTTAAATAAATTTGAACTAGATATAAATAAGAGATAAACAAAATCATATAAGATAAAAACAAAATCATATAAGATAAAAAAAGAGTACGTTTTCACATTTATTTCAATTTTGATTGAATACATTAGCATACATAGCAAATGTGAATTTTGAAAAAGTAGCACAAAAACGTATGCTTTCCATTATCCGTATAATTTTGGCATTTAAATACATCAATTTCGTATTCCGCATCCGAAAGTAATAAGTGTATTTCATTATCCACTATTTCCACGTCATTAAGTACTTCAGCAAAACGACTGCAAGNTATAAGAGTAAAAAAAAGAGTACGTTTTCACATTTATTTCAATTTTGATTGAATACATTAGCGTACATAGCAAATGTGAATTTTGAAAAAGTAGCACAAAAACTGATTTTAAGTCAAAAATGTAAAAATAAAATTACTTAACCATTTAATTGACTAATTGTTTTCATAATTTATAGCCGCCGGAGGAATTGGTTGTAAGTATTTTTAATTTTAAAGTATTTTCAATGATTAGGAATATAAAAGCTATAATAATAAACTTAAAATTTTACTTTTTCAACTTTTTTAATCCCAAAATAAATTACTATTTAAGGAACGAGTTTGTTTTCTAAAGATTGTTAATTTCATGAATTGCGGACATATGGCTTGATAATCACATAAATATAAATACTTAAATTTTTGTAATAAAATATTTATATTTTTCGATTAATTCGTAAACAAAGAAATTTAATTCAGATAATTTTTAATTCTAGCTGTTGTAGGCAATGGTAAGTTCCAATGATAATTTTGAACATAGTTTTATAACAATGAATTGTATCTGTACTAAGAAAGCATAAACAACTCAGCAAACAGTTTCAAAGTTTTCAACTGGAAGTAATTTGGAATACGTTTTCTTGCTTTTACAATATGATAAATATGTTGTTAGGAATTAGCATTCGAAAACTTACTTACAATATTTATTTTCACCGTTTTCAAGAGAAATTTTTTTTTTATTTCGTTCTGATAGTTTCTTTTCATTCTAAAAAACACATGTTAAGAAAAATGTTGTATTGTTGTTCATGCGCACGTACTGTTTTCGTGAAACTCCCTGAGGCAAGTTTCACCCTAAAACACGTAACTAGAGTAAAGCTATGATTGATGAGTTGCAAAAACCTGAAAAACTTTTATATCAAAACTGTTCTAAAGAAAAATTTTTGCTGAACTGAACGATATTCTTATTATAGCAATATACTTTTAAGTGATCATCTTGCAGTAGAGAAACATATAAACAAGATGAGTAAAAAGTAAGATATAACAATTAATAATGCAACACTCTTATTGGCTTAAATAAAGTGTTCTGTTAGTAACTATCACATGGGAGAGAAGGAAGAGGGTTACTATGATTCCAAGAAGAGCAAAAAAAACATAAACCTTACGGTGTTGCATTGTTTGATAAGAATTTAATCTAGCTAATTCTAGCGAGGTTATTATTATATCTATAATAGTTAAAAAGCGTTAAATAGCGAAATTGTAAATTGCTCCGTAAAAAGTAACAAACTTTAGTTAATTTTAAAAAGTGCTCCATAATATGTGAAATATAATTTATAAAATGAAATGCTTCTGGGTAAATATATTATATTATTTACTGTCACACTGTATTTAAAAATTTAGATTTTAATCGAATGAAATATTATTTTTAATATTTATTTTACTTTAAAATCGTATGTTGGAAAACGAAAAATAGTTGGGAAGAGCAAAATTTGTTCTTATGCGCAAACATATTGAATTACATTATAAAAATAGATTCAATAACATTGAATTATAAAAGATTCAAATTTTTTTTAAATAAATTGAATATGAAGAATATTTCAAATAATAAGTATTCACGTTGCATTAAATATGAATACAATTAGTAAAATTCCCAATTTTTCTCATTTTATGACATTGAAATTTATATATTTTATTTAAATAAAAACAATGAAGATCTTATGAAAAATAATATACTTTAATATCATGTAAATCATATAACAAGTAAAATGTAAAGACCTTCTGAAATTTGAAGCAAATATGTAAACTTCAGCAATGTTCCAACTGGTATTTCTTGAAATATTTGAGTTTAGATAGTTCGTTATAGTTGAGATCTTCGAAGAATCTTAATGAAATATTCAAGATAAATATTTATTTTTAAAATGTATTTCTAATCTAACCATTTTTTTAAACTGAAAATTTTTAATGAGAATTTATTATCACTTGTATGTATATCTGCTCTAGTAATAATTACATTCATGCGTTCTTTAAAATTCCAGCTGTTGGTATACTTGCGGACTTGTAAGCTCGATATATGGTAAATAAATTCTCGCTTTAAGTATTTTATTTAAATATTATAAATTTTAGCACTTTTTTGTTTGTTTACCAATTTTCGTTTTATTCTATTTACTTATATATGTTGGTTTTTTATTGGGGAGGTGGGGCATTTTAGAACTACGTCCGCATGTGAAAATGTACCACTTAAAACATAACCGGGAACCTTAATCTACTTTTCTCTTGTACCCGGCTAATCGAGAAATACTGAAATGATTTTTATTAGGAAAGTAAGAAGGATAAATATTAGAAATATGAAATAATATTGCTAAAAAGAATATCATTTTCAAGCAAAGAGTATTTCAATTTCAGATATTAAATAAATAATTTTTCTTATTAATCTACATCACTTATTATTAGAGACTAATAGAATATATTTGATAATAAATGCAGAAAAGCTTGGACAAATCTAGTTCGAGAAAAGACCAGCAACAAAATTGGAGTTCACGGACTGCTTGTTACATGCTGAAATTGAAAATTTCGAATTATAAATAAATGAAAATAATTGAAAATAATTGCTGTTATAAACATTACACTTTACATTTATTATGCAATTTGCGCTAATTGATTTACATTAGCAATAAAATACATTTCCTAAGAAGCTAAAATTCCAACTTTTCACTCACCTTATTATTATTTTGTATCATTCGTTACACGCAATGTAGCATTAAAATGTAATATAGCATATGAAAAAATTCTCATACATTATACTAAAATATTGCTGCTTTCTCACTTAGAAGAAATAACTGTAATATTTCAATTTAAAAATTAATTTTAACGTAAATAAATCTTCAAAATCATACTGAAAATAAAATTACCTTTTAAGAAAAATAATAAATTTATTTTTTGATTAAAATCAGAAATATATAAAAAAGTATAAAAATAAAGAAGAATAAAAATAATCAACCGAAAAAATATTAAACATAAAACTGATAAAGAATATTTAAATTCAATATATCATTTTAATCAGCAATTAACATATCGCACCCTGGCAAGAACAGTTTCATAACTCTAAAATGCAGCACATGAGAAAAATCATCTTAATACTATAAAACTTATTCTGAAAGAGCACAATCTTCTTATAAATTTCAGTTAAGTATTTATGGTGGTAAATTCTTTTGTGCTCTTTTGATTTGTTGATGGGCACTTCATACATATTTTTTTTATTGCTATAACCACGAAATTGCTGTGTTTTTACTTGTGCCACTTTTCTTACAGGGGTGTGATAGATTTTAATTAATAATTAATATCATTTAATTAATCATTAACGTCAGGGCTAACATTATCCCTCACAGTACATATTTTTATTGCTGGCAAAGCACTTTGTTCTAAACCCTAAAATATTTTATTGCGATTTTCTTTTTGCAATATTGATGATTTTTTCTTTTTAGTGACATGGTATAAGTGATAGTAGATTAAAGCAGAAGAAATAATTTGGTTTTTCATTGATAATTTTAAATTCTTATAGATGCAACAATGTGTGATGAAATATTTGTAGTTATGTTTGCTAAAGTTGTTAGGTCAGAAGAAATAATCCTTTTTTTTTCAGATTTGAGAACGTGTTCAAGACATTGCAAGACGTGTGCAAGAAGCATTCTAACTAAAATTGGATTTTATGTAAAATAATGAATAAAGTATGTGTTATTAAATAATTTGCTGCTGTAATACATTTTACTAACACCTTAAATTCTTACTACATATTACATTTGATTTCATGACTGATTTTAAAAAAAAAAATTATATTTTGATGTCTGAGAGTTTTACATACGAGTATTCTTTATTCTTAAGTGAATAAAACAATTTTAGGAATATTCGGAGCTTTTTATATTTAAGCTTAAATGTCCTAAGTCATTTTTTAAGATATAAGAAAAATGAGGCCATAGACAGGCAAAATATGGCTACTGACAACCAAAATATGGCTTTAACTTTTTCTGAATAAGGAACCCAGAATGGATTTTAAACATGAGTAGTAAGTTGGATTTAATACCAAGATCTTCATGGAAAAAGTTTTTATTTTACAATTTTGAATTTGTCGGATAAACAATTAACTTTCTACTATTAAATAACTACTTTAAATTTAAACAAAGATGACTTAAGTTTATCTTTTTAAATTAGAAAGGCTGCATACTTTTTCACCTATGTCTACCCTCACATTGATATTCGCTATTCATATATCGAGGACAGATATGTTGACCTCTCTTTCTGGGGCACCATTTTTGGAGGGCTAACGTTAACCCTCATGGTATGAAGGGCATATGGAGGACACAGTATGAAGGACAAAGAGAAAATGGAAAGAACATCCATGCCTGTAACCGGGACTGGAATCCGGGAGCTTTCTGACCAGAGGTCAACTCCCTGAATAATACACAGGATTTTCAGTACATGATGCATTCTTATACTTCAGAAGTTCTAAATTTCTGTAAAACATTGTTACAATTAACGATTGTATCTGAAGTACTATAATAACTACACGTACAGTGATGAAACAAACGCAATTGATACTTTTATTACGTATGTAGCTCGAAAAAAATTAATTAAGCAATTAAAATGTTATTAAAATTGCTTCATAAAAACATTCGACTAAATAGTTGGGAACATGCTTAAAAATGTGGTACTGCACACCTCAACAGTTTGGTAGTTTGTTTGGTAGTTTGACTTACCATCAGTTTTTTACACTAAGAATATTAGCGTGTATACGATAAATACATCTATATGTAACATAACATAATGGTCTTACCCGGTTTCCCATTGTTATCTCTGAATTTTTATAGGCAGGAAAATCGCATGGTAGGATCCATTTTTCCCACATTAATCCTATTATATTCTGGTTCTTATCAGCATGAAATCAATGGATGCCATTAAGTTATTGTTTTTCTTATAAATTTTTTTGTATCCATAATTTTAAATTATTTGTCTGTAATTTTTTTTTTTATTATACTTTGCTGTCATTACGGTTTTAATTTGACTATTTTCAAAATTAAAATAATTTCAAGAGTAAAGGCATTGCTTTTTTATTGCAGCGTAATTCTGTAATATTATTGCTCCGCATTTTTAGATAAACTTATTTAAATCTACGTCTAAACATATTGATTATATTAAAATTAATATTTTTTGGGAAAATTATATTATTTTACAGTTCGAAATTACAGTTACAGAGCTTCCTTTGATTAAAATTTAATGATCAGCGTTATGATCTATGCAATGCATGCACAGATAATACCAAATATATTAGTCTGTTTTGCAAGCGAAAATATTAAATTATGGTTTAAAACTTACCAAATTTTGATTAAAAAAATATTGCTTTCAATATTGGCAGGAAATGTGATTTTCACTTGGAAGTGTTGTTCAGAAAAATATGACTCATAAAAACAATGAACAATTTTAAAAAATCATTTAAAAGAAACTTAGCTTACTTGGTTAATTATTTTTATTCGTTACACACAGAAATAAAATTTAACTTTTAGTATTTTTACAATATTGTACAGTATTTTTTATAGAGTACTTTACATTTTTGTCATGAAATAAAATCCACTAGACTAAATTAGATATTCATAAGCTTACTGTTTAAACTTTCGCTTGAATGGAATTTAATACCTTTCTCATAATTTTTCATTGTTAATAAAAGCTCCAACCTACGAGTCCATTTATCTCTTTATATTGACAATTACTTCGTACACTAGCTCTAGGAAAAAAATTTCTGGCAATAAAATACTATTATGGTAAACATAATTCTAATTTTGAAAAAATATTAAAATAAAATAAAAAAACACGATAATTCTAGTAACTAACACCAAATCATTTATTTGATAATTTTTCTATTTGTTAATGTAATTGTTTATCTGGAAATTTTGGTATTGAAAATTAAAGTCTTATTAACACAAATAGAAATCTGTATAGTAAATTTTCAGGAAAAAATTTTTTCCACGCTGTACTCAGAAGAATCATGCTACTCTGAAGAATCTTGTTTATATAACCGAAGTTAACTTCAGAACTATTGTCACTGCTCGGACACACGTTCTTAAACTTCGATTACATCATTTCCTGCCCCGAATTTGATTGTACATAATTTCATGCGTTTCATGTCGATAAACCGTTGTTCCAAACGTGATACGTATCAAAACGTACCTTAGTGTACATTTTCAGGAAATTTTTTTATCCATGCTGTACTCAGAAGAATCTCGTTACTCTGANACAGGAACACTTTAATTGTCCACTAATCTTCAGATTTCCTGCTATGTTTTAAAAAACTTTATTTGTGAAAACCTTCAGCGTGGCGGACAGCTGGCCGCCTTAGGCGGCTAGTACCTAATATATTAGTCTGTTTTGCAAGAGAAAATATTAAATTATGGTTGAAAACTCACAAAATTTTTATTGAAAAAATATTGCTTTCAATATTGGCAGGAAATGTGATTTTCACTTGGAAATGTTGTTGGAAATTTTGGTATTGAAAATTAAAGTCTTATTACCACAAATAGAAATCTGTATAGTAAATTTTCAGGAAAAAATGTTTTCCACGCTGTACTCAGAAGAATCACGCTACTCTGAAGAATCATGTTTATATAACCGACGTTAACTTCAGAACTATTGTCACTGCTCGGACACACGTCTAGAGACTTCGATTACATCATTTCCCGCCCTGAATTTGATTGTACATAATTTCATGCGTTTCCTGTCGATAAACCGTTGTACCAAACGTGATACGTATCAAAACGTACCTTAGTGTAAATTTTCAGGAAAATGTTTTATCCATGCTGTTCTCAGAAGAATCACGTTACTCTGAAGAATCATGTTTATATAACCAAAATTAACTTCAGAACTATTGTCACTGCTCGGACACACGTCTAGAAACTTCGATTACATCATTTCCCGCCCTGAATTTAACTGTACATAATTTCATGCTGATAAACCGTTGTACCAAACGTGATACGTATCAAAACGTACCTTAGTGTAAAGACATTTGAAAAGAAAAGAAATGTCTTTAAGTAAATTTTTCTAATTTACAAAATTGTATCAAAAGTTGTATAATATATACATAGTATAACAACAAAACCTAAAAAGGACTGCATCTGGTGAAAGTGTTAAAAATTGAGCCAACCTAGATTTTAAAAGTTCAACAATCATACATACAAAAAGATATCCTTAAAATTCCTAGAAGTCCTATCCCTTTTCTTAAAATATTTCTGGCTATCCTTCATAATATTTAAAGTGGTTTCGACCTTAAAACTCGACAGATTCAAGGAATTTAAATGATTATATAAAACCTTTTGACTCAAATGATTATTGAAACTTTTGAAATTTTTTGACTTTTTAATTTATTTCACAGATTTTTTTTAATATTGACATGCAATTTAAAACTTATTGTCAAAAATAAAAGGTGAGTTACATTAAACATTATTCCAAGATTTATTTCTGAAATATTAAGCTTATAATTACAAATCTGTTTTTGCGAAAGCTGTTATTACTATATATTTGTGATTTTAAATTCAATTGAAATATAATATTTCTTTACGAAGTTATTCTTGGCTTGAAAACATTATAAAATAAAAGCTCTGATGACACCTTAAGATAACAAAAAATAAATGAGAAATTGAAAGTTTTTTGTGCATAATGATTGCGCGTGACGAAAGAAAACAGTAAATAGAGGAAGATAATTAAAATTATTCTTCTATTGCAAATAAAAAAGTAAAAAAAAACGCTTAAAGCATTTCAAAATAATTATATTGAAAGAATTAAAAATATATTTACATCGAAAGAATAATTTGAAGAATTTTACTCCATTTCAAAATTTTTGAAGCTATTGATAATTTTTTATTTTAAAAAATGTTTTTAAAAAAATTTAATTAGGTTTCAAATTTAACTTAAAAATTTAATATACAAACTTTTGATCATAACTTTTTTTTAAACTTGAAGTATGTCTTTCCTTTTTTACCTGTTAAGTCCGAACACAGCTCAGGATATTGAAATGGACTCGGTAAAAAAAGCTGCCCAATCCTTGAAGTCAGAGATTTTAAATGTAATCACCTCGTCGCTTAGCTTTTTATTCAGGAAACATTTGAAAGTGGGGTTCAAGAAAATGGACTCAGTTTAAAATGCATGCTTAATAAAATGCACATAGTAAAAAATGCGCTTTCTTATTGCTCAACCTGAACTTAGCAACTAAACGAGGAACTTCTTACTTTATTTTTTTAAACTCTAAGCATAATCATTACTTGACTTCGGGGTCGGGGTTGTTAGCCTTTACAGCGATCTTATTCTTTTATTTCCTCTGACGATAAACAAAAAAACATTAATAACAAGAAAAATTGTCGTTTGATTGTCTAGCAACCAGCCAGAGTTGCAGTTATTATACTTACAAGAGTTGGCAGATGATTTATTGTTTATCGTCTGTGTATATTAGTGGAAATATAAGAATAAGGTCGCTGTAAAACCTAATATTATGGTGCCGAAATACTCAAGCTTTCTACTCACCAGGATTTGAGAAAAAAAATTACATTCCTGCGTTTAAAGAGGTGATAATTTATTTTCGTAACTTCATTATTATTTCCTTTCCAATTAATCAGAATGACTTCAACACAAAATGATTCGGCAAACAAAATGGCGATTGAAGCGCAAATGTAAAACAATTCGAGCTAATATTACTCGCTTCATTAGC